CCCTGACGACGAAAAATCGTCCTCATCGACGAAAACAAACCACTACCCACCTCGCCTTCCTGGACGCGCTCTGCGTCGGGAGTGGCGGTAGTGGTGGCTCTGTCATTCATCTTCCTCCTTCCCCTCCCGCCTCAAGATGGACACTTGGGCGAAAAATCGCCCTGTCAGCGAAAATCGCCCATGTGGGCGAAAAATCGTCACCATCCTGCATTCGTGGACGCGTTTCGCGTCGGCAGTGGCGAAGCCTTTGGGCAATTTTTCTCTCCTCTCAGGTCTCAAAATTTGCATGTAGGCGAAAAATCGTCCAGGCGGGCGAAAAATCGTCCACATCGTCCAGGAGGAAAACTCCAGGTATGTGCTTCAATTTGAGTGCATTGTGGTATGCTAACTGATACTAGTGATCTCAGACAAGCCCGCCGACAAACACCAACCCATTCACGTCATGTCTTCCCCAACCACCGACGAATTGACACACTCCCGCCCGCAAATCTCCCCTAGCCCTAGTTTTCGTTGGCGCGGACATCATCGGCAGACTAGCTTGTCCCTCTGCCCCCCTCAGAGTCTCCCCTAGCCCTAGTTTTCGTTGGCGCGGACATCATCGGCGGACTAGCTCGTCCCTCTGCCCCCCTCATAGGCTGGCATGGCCAGCTCAGCGCGCCAAACGCGCCCCCGCCAAGCCCCGGGCCTTATCCGGCAATCGGGCCGCCGGGCCGTCCACACCCGTTCTCCCGGTCGGCCCACTCGCACTGTTTTGGGATCCGGTGTCAATTAGCCAGTCACCGGGCCGTTACTCCGTTCCCGATTCACCCGCCCACCCGCTCCTCACTCCCGCCGTTGACCGACGTGTCCAGCGCGTTCTTCGTCACCCATCGTCACCACTGCTCTCGCGCTTAACGTGACCTTCGCCGCCATCGTCACGCCAAGCACCACTTTATCCCTTCATGCCGTCGAGTTTGTGGGCGCGCCCCTGCGCTGCAGACCTCATCCAATACCACAGGCTCGACCTACAAGCGCGTTTCATCGCTCGTCAGGTCCTCTCGGCATACCCCGCTCCCACGACCAAGGCCGAATGGGTCCAACTCGAATCCAAATTCAAGGAGGCCGTTTTCAATCGCGCACAGACGATTGGGCACCAATATATATACATCAATGACCCGAAACTCGGCTATATCTACGCTTTGGAGGTAGTCCTCGACGATGGGCGCGTCGCCTTCAAGATTGGGTACACGACCCGGTACAAAAAGCGGTTGGGGGAGTGGGAGCGGTGCCGTTCGCGCCGCTGGGAAGCCATATGGGCGGTCGACGCGCCGAAGCGGTTCGGTACGCCGTCAGGCTTTGCCGCTGGGTCCGGCGCTGATTCGTGGTTCAGAAAAGATCGTGCATCGGTGGTTTCGTCCGGCATGGCTGCGCCGGGTGCCGTGTCGAAGGTGCCGCAAAAAACATCAAGAACTCTTTGGGTTTGCTGATTGTGGGGGCCGAGTTGGCGTATTGAGGGGGATAGAGCTCATGTTGGAGGGCATGGATGCCCCAGTCCGCCGCGTTTATGTATGAATGAATGTAATCAAGCGCTTTTCGCGCGATTTCGGGCGCTCTCGGGCGAAATCGCCCTCCCTTGGAAAAACTTCAAGTTTTTATTTCACCACATTCAGCCCAAAAAACTTGTTGTTTTCCGGTTCAAAAAACGGATTGAAGTACCTAAAGTTTTCCGGTCCAAAAAACTCATTCAAACACTTGATGTCCTCCGGGTCAAAAAACGCATTCAAATCTTAGATGTTTTGTTTTTCATTAATCGGGTCGAAAAACGAGTCAAAACACTTGAGCTTTTTCGAGCAGAAAAACTCATTCCAATACTTCCCCTTTTAGAATACATTTTTCCTCGTTCTCAAAACTCGTAGAAAAGCCTCATGTTTTTAGATGACTCTGTAGCTAAAGAACATTTGTAGTAATACTTGCCATTTGTAGCGTCAAAATACCTATTTGTAAATTTTACTTTGTCCAATAAATTTTTCTCCCCCGAAAACTTGACCTTTTTGGTCCAGTTTGTATGATGAAAACATTTGTTACAAAACTTTGCCTCTTCCCACTAATGTTTCCGCCCTCAACATTTTTGAAACGCGGCTGTGACATGCTGACCTTCGGCCAGGCCGGGCTAGGGCCCGGCGTGACGCGACAAGGTTACATCATCTCTTTCGATGGGACCGCGGAGGGGGTCGGGAAGTCGGTATGCACCTGGCGCATTGTCCATTTGTTGCTGCCTGCGAAGTTATCGCAGATCGGCGGCAAATCACTGTTGCAATGGTGGGTAAACAGCTGATTTGCGCTATGATACCCGTTGACCCGTACCAACGGCCGTCGCGGCCGTAATTCGACGGCTGTTACGGCCTACACCCGAACCGTAACCGTCCCGTCAGGGTCTTCACCAGAAGCCCCGACGGTATGGTAACGGCTACCCGTTGACGGGTCCCGTCGACCCGTGGCTACGGCCACGGGCGGCATCCCTAATGAGGTGGTTGTGCTTGGCGACGACGCTCTCACTCTTGACAGGCCTCCTGGCACTCTCGATGACATCGAAACTTTGCCTTGGAACCATTACTCAGCGCCGGTACGGGAGAGAAAGTATGCCTGATTTCAGTTGCTTTTGGATGGATTCAAGCTATTTCGTGAATATGATGTACCCGATTTAGCGCTAGAGCTAGATTACTGTGTATGTATCCGGTATACTCTAGCTACAATGGATTACTCCTTCAAAAACACAGAGACCGATGTCGATACCAAATCCTGGTGTTTGTTTTTCATGTGTTTCATTCAAAGAGTCGGGGACCGCCGCTTGCCGGCGCTACAGATATAATACCCCCGCGGGGCCGTGATCGTAATCGTAATGCGTAAGCTCGCTTAGTCAGATCAAAAGAGGCGCAAAGTGGTGAGGGAAACCCGCCGCGGCGGGGAGGGGAATTCACTGGTCTTCTAGGTACAAGATGGGCCTATTATATATCTTTTCCCCCCGTCACTCCGTCACAGTGCTGCGGTCACCTTGTACCGCCTCCGTTGCCCGTATTGCCTCGCGAGGCTATCCTCCGTTGCCCCGTTTCCTTGACAATTTGTAAGCCTTAGGTGAGCGGCTTAGCTGAGCCTTACTCAGCCTTATTCAGTGCTTCTGGCTTGCCTTTTGCCCCTCCTTCGCACCCTCCCTCAACTGTCCACCAGCCGCCGCATCGCCCGCTCTTCAATGCTGATGAAGAGTATCGCAGTTTTTGCTATATCGAATGAAATAGCAGGTCCTTGTCCACAAATGCGGGTCCGCGATAGCCACAGCGCGCCACTGCTGAGATACCGCAGTGAGCCGCAAGAGGGCAACATCGACTTGAGTTCGTGGCGCCGAGGACACAACCGCAGCGAAGATCTTGCACAGAAGCTCCGGAGGGAGCCCGGTACGTCAGGGAATCGATTGTTTTCTTGATCTGTTCTGCCTCTTGTCGGAGTCGGGTAATGGTGATGGAGTCCAGCGGCTTGTTTGGGTGACGGCGCTCGCGGAACCCAAGAGAGACTAGTGCGCGTGAAGCCTCAGCGTAGTACTGCTCCACTGTGAATTCATTGTGTGAATCGTCGTTGTCGGACATGAAAGTCTGTGTGTGATCATGACGAGCGTCACGGCGTCGAAGGCTAAAGATAGTAAAAAAAATTAGTTTTTTGGGAACCAGAGATTGGTTGAATTAGTGCATACAAGAGAGTGCGCAGAGAGCTATGGAGAAGGAATAGGTAAATGAAGACATGGTAGTACAGTAGTGGGGTTGTCGTATGTAGTGGTGAGGAGGGAAGAGATATAATAGATACGCAACCTGAAGCTTTCCCTACGCAAATTCTACCATGTGCCCACAGAAGAGAATGAGAAGACATGTCGATAGAATTGGTATCGTCAGAGAATACAGCACAGTGGTTTCGGTGGAACTGGGTAGGAAAATATGCTACTTCACTGGCAGCAAGCAAGTGTGAAGATACTTTCAAATAGCACGTGCCGAAGGCTCGATGCGAAGATGGACTTGCCCGTGAAGCAGAAGATGGTGGTCAAGGGTCTTGCATTGCCCGTGGCTGATATCATGTGGCATTTTTGAACGTAGAAGGTGGTGGGGGTGTACCAGGGGAAGGCGTTGTCAAAATACTAGGAAGAGAAAGCAAGACAGGGGCATGGACTGAAAGCCATCCTTTGAGTTAGCGGTCGTTGACAGTAATAGAACGAATTCCACACTCACCATTTGAGCTAGGAGTCCCCAATCTTCAGAAGAGTTGCGCTTCTCGCAGGAGGAGCCCAAACGGCATTGTGTTCCCGTTGCTTAGATGCTCTAGATGCCGAGAATCAAGTCGTCGTCTTCTTCCCCTTATCGCAGAAACGGATGAGAAGCAGCCGTTACATAGTCAGGATAGCGAACAAACTAAGGGCCGAAAGCGCACCATAACTCGACTTCCAAGCGTTCACGGTTCTACTGGTGTGCCCCAACAGCCTTCCGTTGCCGCCTCAGACGGGCACTGCCCGGCACCAAGAACGCGGCAGCCTATCCTCCAAACTCAAAAGAGTGGAGTATCACGACCACGAAGCACGTGTTCTTCGTCGAGGCTGGGTCGAAAAACGACCAAGTTAAGGCTTTCCTGTCTCCGCGGAACGAGTCTGGCGTGGAGTGACTAGCACCAAGTAAGAACGACGAGAAGGATAACTTGAGTGGACTCACTCACCCTAAGAAACACAGTCTAATCCCATGTTCTCTCATCTAGTGGTCTTTTGTAGCAAGAGCTGAGCGATACGGGATGGAGGCCAGCGAGCGGCCATGGTTGTTGTGGAGAAGAAGCAAGGACGATCGGGCCGATGGTGCCACGTGAGTCCGATCTTCCCCTCGATCCTGCGCGCCAGCCTCAACGCTCCTGCTTCCCACTTGCCACCCTTTGCCTGATAGAACGTGCTCGAAGTTCAGCGACCTGCTGCTTTCTGTACGCGTTGGCTTGCGAGCTGAATGGCCACTATTTGCCTCAGAAACATTCTCGATGACGATGACGGCGAGGAAAACGAGAAAAACGGTGTCAAGGGGTGGTGCGGAGGATGGAACGGTTGGCTCCAGGTGCGTGAATGCCCAGCTCTGCCTCCAAACGTTTCGAATTCTAATACATGTAAGGTGTCTGAAAACGTGGGGCTCCCCGCGGCCCGTCTCGATATGGCCCTCGAACTCTCATTGCACACCCGTGGCCCGCGTCTTTGCCAGGGGTACTCGCTGCTGAGACCACAGACGTGCAGTATCGACGAAGAGAACCACCTCGTAGAGTCTAGACGGAATTGCTTCCAAGGGGCCGGGCTGTTATTTGGCGTTCCCCCGGCTTTATTCACCTCCTGGTGAGTCAATTAGTCGCCCTCGCATGCCTACTAGTATAACTTATCTCTTGATGCTAGGCAGTCGCCGCCTTCGTTTTCGACCACTCCAAAACCTTCGACGACCTCTGCTCCCTCCGTCCTTCAGAACATTGTCAGCGGCGTCGAAACACCTCCCCCGTCGACACTCTTAGCTGCCGTCGCCAACGTCATGCCTCGAATATATGACGTGAAAAAGCGTCATATGTCTCGCCATTCACCGTGTCCCCCGGTACCAAAAGAGCGCAGGACGAGGAGTCAGTCATAATCGGACAAGCAACTGCCCTTCTGCTCGTTACCCTGCAAAGGCTTGACCAACAGCCTATATACCTTCAAACGAACTCGAAAACACTCGAGAACGAGGGCATGGTGCCGCGTATATCTCCCGCCTCTAGTTTTTCCGTTCCCGCATATTCGCACACATTCCATGGCCTCGTCCCAAAATGGAGGTCACGTGCAAGACTTGCCCGCGAAAAGACGTCAAGGTATCGCAACAGACAACGCATGTACGGCGCTATCGACCGTATCTCTACCTCCCCCGTACCATCCTGCAACTACCCAATTCTTTCTTCCCTGCCTTTCCATGCAGAAGGCCGTCGTTCCGCGCGTTTTTGGAGGGGTCTATCTGGACAGCATGTGCGTCGTTTGTCGAACAGGGAGGGCCAGCGGCGGTATATCATGTAGCTCTGTGGATGAAATAGAGGTGTGTACCGCTCTATTCAACATCAGAGTCCCTCTGACTTGACTGGTTTGCCCCCATTTGTCGACCACAGATATGATATCGTATCGAAAGGTGTGTATTGGCTGGAGAGGGAGGAAGGGGGTGACTTCGGTGAATTAGTCGTTAGCCTGCGTTGAGTATCTGGTTCATTCACGTTCTAGAATTCGACACTCTTTCCGCAGTAGAACAAGGTGAAGTCTCTCGGAGATGAATACCAGTAGTGCGTTCGGCGTTCGCTGCCAAAGTACAGCGAAGCCACGCCCAGTTTACTGCGACATGAATATAGTGACGTGCTTGCTTGCCACAAGACAAACAAGGACTAAGTGTGCAAGTGCCTTCAGAGCTAACAAACTCCTCAGGAAACTCAACACCAAGAACTCAAGAACTCAAAAGAGAACTCAAACTCAGAAGGGAAAGACTGGGAGGGGAAGCACTGGGGAGGATGATGCTAGCTACTAACTATGAACAAGCTTTTATAGACTAGATAAATAAGGGCTAAATGAAATAGAAACTAAAATCAAATGGAAAATGAGCAACAAAGTCAGGAAAGATAGGGAATGGAAACTAAGGTAGGAAATGGCAACTAGCAAAGGAAGTGGAAACTAAAATAGGAAATCATGACAAAGTGTGACTTGTGACGAGCTAGGCTCGTCAATAGCTATTGATTACTGACACTATTTGGCACTGTATCTACTCGCTTTAATCACCATCGTATCCGCATTATTGCTTGTTCTCCTGTTCTCATTCGCAAGCATCGACTGAAGCATTTAAGTATACAAGTTGATTGTCAATTACTGTACATGTTAATGAAGCTCCCTTCCCCTGATCAGTGAGCGTTCATCTTGCTTATACCTTCCTCGCCATCGCTGCCACTGTCGCCCTCGCCGCCACCCTTGGCATTGTCCACGGCGCTGCCCTCGACCTCGCGCTTGCTCTCACCCTCGCCCTCGCCCGATGACCCCGATTCATCTGCTGGTAGTGCGGCAGTGCCCCGTGTTTAAGTGGTGGGCTGTCGTATCCTGGGTACTCGATGTCGACCAGCTTCTGTCGGTGCGCTTGGATGATGGCTCTCGTGGTGATAGGCAGGCCCTCGGCGTAGCAATGCAGCACGCCCATCCCGATGACCGTTTGACATCGAAGAGGCCTTCCCTGGTCGAGGTGAGAAGGGGGGGTCATCTCGTGGGAACACATGCCGGTGGACCTGGGCCCATCGCGGGTCGCTGGGGTGGATGTGATCCTCGAAGTCGAGCTCCGCGTTCGGTCGAGTGGTGCTGAAAGGAAGATATTTCACTGGCAAGGGATCAGAGACCAGAGACGGTTGAGCAGGCAGGAGCATTGCTTACCGAAGGACTGCATCTGCGTTGACGGGTTGAAAGGAAGTAGTAGTTGCGGTCGATGGTGTTCTTGTCCACCACTGGCAGCACCGTGCACGTTTAAATAGAAGTAACCGATGTGTGGACACAACGTGTGTCCGCCACGGCGAGGCCACATTTAGTCTCTTGTGACAGTGCGAAGATCCAGCGAGGGAATTAGATTTCATGCCTGATGGCCAGTAAAAGATATCTATAGCCCAATCTTTGTGTCAATTGCAATTGGTTCTTCCGGGTTGTAGGCGTTGCCGCTTGCGTTATACAGTGCACATCCCAATTTTGGAGGTAAACACTGATGAATTGTCGCGAGGGATAGTTTTACGTCAGGGGCTTGATAGACAGTGCCGCAGAGGTCCCTGAGTACTTGCGCGCCGCCAGTGCTTGAAGAAGAGAAAGCAATGTCGAAGCGGCGCCGCGGCGCCGAGCCAGCTGAGCAGCAGGTACAGCAGGTATATGATCAGCAGTGCTTGCGGGAGGTGATTGCGGTACCCTTGAGGACCCTACGGAATCAAGGAGGGACGACGACGGATAGCGGAGGTGGCGGGCAAGACGAAGGAGACCGCGGATCGCCACGTGACAAGCATCGCGTCTTCTTCTGCTCCTCCACTTGTCCTCCACCACGGACAACCTTCCCGGCCTTAAGAATCCGCCCCTCCCTTCGCACAAGTACCCAGACTCATCATGTATCCACCCGCCGAGATGTCCGGTGCGTTGTAGCCGGCCACACAATGTCCCGCTAACTCAGTAACTGGTTCTGCGTCCAGGCCAACTGCCGTTTCTGGTGTATGCCATGCGGCACCGGCGCCTCGACGGTCGATAACAGCGGACGTTGGGCCATGAGGAGCACTTATAGGCTCAACAGGGCGACCAGCTAGTGGTCGGTTTGGTGCGACTTTTTCCTGCTTCTCTTTTCTGACATCTAATCGTCGCAGATACTATCTGGAACCCTTTTCCTGTGTCTACCGCGGCACCACACTACGTTCTTCCCCCAAATTACAAGCGACAGGTGCTTCTTCTGGCTCGCCGAAGCTTGCTGTTGGACGACGACGACGACCTGAATATCCACCTAGCACCAACGGCTTCATACTCTTTCTTGCTCATTCCCTGCTTGCGCCGCGACACGCAGGTCGACCTGAAAAAGAGGCCTTAACGGACAGAGCGATAGCTACAGCAAAGCCACGCACCATGGCGCGACTTCTCAATGACGCGTCATTGCTCCATTCGCGGTGGGTCTCGCTGTCTCGATGACAATGGATAGCACTCATCTATTTCCTCGGCCAGCAAAGCGACTTTGCCAGCTGGATAGAACGTCTACCAGCCGCACGAACAGCAAGACCCTCATGCGACACGATTGCTGGAGCGTTCTTCTCAGGCTGTGGCGCCGACATCGCCATAATCCTTCCGCGAACGCCACATCTTAGCCCATCTATATCAACGACAGCCCATCCAAAATGAAATGCCCGTAGACACCAGCGGCGCTCGACGCTCGTTCCCCAAAAGTCACACTCCTCACCCGCGAAACCACTTTTTACCTCCGTTTCTGCACTCCATACAGCTCTATCGATCGTATCTTGTGGTGCGGTACCACTCTTCAAGGCCAGCCAATTTTTTTGGGATGCTGTTATGAACGGAAGGCCTTTGTCGACACCCATTTCTCTGTTGTTGCCACCAGTGCTAAAATCACATACATTGCTATCCCGACAGCGAGACGACCATGATAACATATCTCCCGTTATGATCTATGCCCTGCTCGTCGCTGAAGAGGGAGAGAGTGTGTGTTTGGGGACAAGCCAATATGGATTGGTCGCCAGAGCTCTCTCGCTCGGCCCAGGAGGGGCCGCGCTCGAGCCGGCCTCGGCGAAGACTAACAAACAGGAAAACTAGACTAGAGGAGGGAAGAGGCATGGGTGGGAGACAAAAGAAAAGCTATCGAGCTATGTGAGTAGGAGTGTAGAGGACGAGGACAAGAGTATGAAGAAAGTGATGTGATATATATATGTAGCAAGGACAAAGAGGTGAAAGAGGTGCCGCGACGCGTTTGTACACGCCGCGGCACGTGTCTGGCTCGCCTGCATAGACCGTGTTTGATGTTTCAAACACCTCTTCTATGCCCTGCTCGTCGCTGAAGAGGGAGAGAGTGTGTGTTTGGGGACAAGCCAATATGGATTGGTCGCCAGAGCTCTCTCGCTCGGCCCAGGAGGGGCCGCGCTCGAGCCACAAGCAACGCAGCCGGAGAGCCAGCGGCTCAAGAGGCTGCGGCTGGAGCAGCGGCCACATGCAAACGAGACGACAAACTGAGCACGCGGTTCTTTGGTACATCGAGGTAGAGCTTGTAGGCATTGCTACGCCAGCGCCCGAGGAGCTGAATCTCGAAATCAGCATAGCCTGCGATGGCAGCGGCGGTCGCAGCACCGCGGCGAAAGCTATGACCAGAGTACTCGGACTGGTCAAGGCCGATGGCAGTGATGCGTGACTTGAGGGTGTGGATGAATTCGGAGCGGTGGAGCGGAGAAGAGTCAGCCTTAGCAAAGAGGGGAGCAGACTGAGGCAGTGGATGAATAGCAAAGAGATGCTTCATTGCGCGCACAGGGCAGGTCAGCGGGGAATCTGGGGCGGCGGCCATCATGACCGTCACGCCGCCACGGAATGGGTCCGTCTTTGACGCGGGTATAGTGAGCTCGAGGTACTCAACACCACCCTCATCAAAGAAACGGACAGAGCCTCGGGTGAGATGAATAGCGGGGTCAAATTTGGCCCTGTCAGGGACTGTAAACTCGCCACATCGCAAAAAGCCAGCCCATGCAAGATTTTTTGCTGCGTTGAAGATTGCGTCGTCAATGCCAGTGATCGTGTCACCAGACCCGGAGATGGCACCCATGGCACGAAGGATATCGAGAGTAATAGGGAGCTTGGGCTTCCGGTCCCGGTCACCCTGGAATCGTTTGATGCCACGGATAAGACGCTGGAGGGCAAGAGAGTTCCCGGCTTCAAATGACATGCCCGAGTCAATGTGCAGGGAACGAACACCCGAAATGTAGCCTTTGATTGTCTTGTGAAGAATGGGCCGTTCTTTGCTGGCAAGATGGGCAGCCCAAGCCATGAGCCCGAGCTCTGTAGCAGGCAACAGCTGACCTGGAGAGCAAGCAAACTGGGGGTTTAGGCGGATAAAGTCGATAAAGGAGCGTTGCGCAGAGGAGTAAGTTTTGCGGGTTGATGCAGCAAGTCCGTGCCAGAGGAAAAATGCGACTTCTCGAGGGTAGTGAGCATGTGCCTCATACCACTCATCCGGGACGACAGCATTGAGGACGTTCGATGTAGCCACGGGGCTAGCTCGAACAAGCGGCGGTACTGAAAACGAGAGGCGGCATCAGCAAGCGCATTCTCGTTTGTAGGAATCCAGACCACAGAAAAAGTGAAGTGAGCGGCAGAGGCCAGCAGGATGATTTGCCGCAAAATACCCATTCCCACTGGCGAGCGCGCCGTGTCATTGCCCAGCCAGGATACCACAGCCTGGTTGTCGCACCGGAAAAGAACATGGCTGCCAGACCATGCCTCACCCCATCGTAGGATTGCCTGCAAGACTGCAAAAATCTCTTTGAACTGAATGTCGCGGCCGCGGAAACGCCGTGGGCAACGGGCAGAGAACCAGTGATTGCCCCAAACACCGCCTAAACCTTTGCGACCGCTCGCATCAGTCTCGACAACGTTCACAGGGCAGCCTGGATCCAGCAGCTGAACACCATTCCACTGAGCGCTCAGGCTCATCCACCAGCCAAGGTCGGAACGGACACCAGAGGGAACGTGCAGCCGAGAAAATGGAGATTTAAATCGCATTGCAAAGTCAATCATGCGACGGATAAAGGCCCGGGAGCGGGGAATGACTTGTGAGCAGAATTGGAGATAGCCAATCAACTCTTGAACCTCCCCTAAAGTGCTGTAACGTTTACGGCTCCACTCGCCAAGAAGGAGCCGAAGGTAAGCAAGCTTGTCCTCAGGAAGGCGAGCCTCCATCGCTTCCGAGTCAAGCTCCAAACCAAGGAAATCAATCACTGTGGAGGGCCAGACTGTCTTATCTGTCTGGAACAAAAATCCGAGCTCCTCCGCGCGATCGACAGCTGACCGTGCGATAGCTGGATCTGTAGAGGGGCGAAAGACCCCCCAGAAGTCGTCCAGATAGTGGCGCAGACGGGCAGGAAGATGCCGAGAAATAATTCAATGCAATGCTTCTGCGAAAAGATTGAATATGTATGGCGCCGATCGCAGACCAAACATGAGCACTAAGGCATAATAGAATGCCCCATCCCAAAACATGCCCATATGGTGGTGGTCGGCAGCGCGGATAGGAATATGACGAAAAGCATCCTTCAGATCTAATTTGATCATCAGGGAACCTCGGCCGGAAAGGCGGAGGTCGGTAACGGCCCGCTCAAACATCTCATATGAGATGTGAGCTTCAACGTCAGAGATGCCGTCGTTGACGGAAAGGCCACGCGGCCAAGAAAGGTGGTTGATCAGGCGAAGCTTGCCAGGCTTGCGCTTGCGTGCAACAACACCGAGAGGGGGAGCTACGCAGCCCCCGGATAGGCGGGGCCAAAAACGGGCCAGCAACGGCACCCTTGGCGACAAGCTCAGCAAGAGCATCTGAAAGAAACTGCGGATGCTCGAGGGAGGACTTGAGGTTCTTCACGGGACGCACGACTTCGGGGCCGGAAAATCCAATATTGCAGCCAAAATCGATTATTTGCAGTATAGTGGATACAAAAACACGATCAGGATAATCCTGTAAGTAAAATTCCCAAGCATTACGCTTGAGAACGGAGGCAACTCGTGGTTGAGTATGATTAGATGGCAGTGGTACATTAGCGCGAGGATCAGTGTTTGGCCGAGCTGGCGGAGGAGGCAGTGGAGGGAAGAGGTGTTGGTGCGGAAGACAGGAGACATGGGAAGCCGAAGACGAATGGACCGGAGAAAACTGCTGGCGCAAGCGAGCAAGCCGAGCAGCAGTAGCGCGAGCTCGACGGCTCGCTCCGCCGAGTCCCTATGTCGAAGCCTTGCTGGTGCAGGCTGTTGACGGGTGGTCACCCTGGCATGTCCGACAGACATGCCGGCGTTTCGAAGGGCATGGCGAAACCTTGCAGATCCCATTGTTCCAGTCGAAGCAGATCTGCTGCTCGACAGGCGTGGCTGTGCCTGGCTTGCGTGCCTTGCCTGCAGCACGTGCGGCGGGCGAGGAGGCCGAGCTATGCGCTGCAGTGACGGGCAGCGGGTGTGCATAGACCAGGCGGGACAGGAGGCTGTAATCAGGGCAACCCCAGCTGGAGTAGTTGCCCGCCTTCATATCCCAAACCCGCGAGGTGTGGAATTCGACATGATAGATGACGACCGCCGGCCACTTGAATTGTTGGTGGAGCTCAGTGAGGTGCGAAACATATTCCGAGGAAGCGCGAGTGATCGCGAAGACCTCCCACGGCTTCCCCGAAGATGCCGCAAAGGCCGGGTTAGCTCATCTTCGACACTCACGACACCCTGACACACTTTGTACTTACCTACGACACCTACTGGATTTGGTAATTAATTGACAGAAATGCACCCAAGTCCGACACTTGAAGGCGTTGATGCTCAAAGACGACACTCCCATTCTCGGAGATCCACCCGGATGTGTGACAGCCAAGCGAAAAAAGATGGGGGAACGGCTCCGCGCAGCGGGCCTCCCGCGGCGAGCGGCAGCCCGCGGCAGCGTGGGGTCCGGGGCAAAGCCCTGGTCGGGGTCCGGGGTGGAAAACCCCGGCCGTCGCGGCCGGCGCCGCAACTAAGTGCAAAACAAGGTAATATTAATGAAAAATACACGAAAAAAATGGGAAAAAAAGGAAAGGCTGCTCCGCGCAGCGGGCCTCGCGGCGAGCGGCTGCTCCCGGCAGGGTGGGTCCAGGGCAAGGCCCTGGTCGGGGTCCGGGGTGGAAAACCCCGGCCGCCGCGGCCGGCGCCGCAACCCAATGACCCAAAGATGGTCACGCATCTGCCATACTTTGACCAAGTACGACACCTGACAGACGCAGGGTGTCGTACTTGGAGGTGTCGTGAGTGTCGGGTTTGATATAACCTCCGCAAAGGCAGACAAAACCTCGAAGTACTTCAGCAGCGGGCGGAGGAGGGAGTGGAATGAGGGGAAGTGCTTGAGTGTAGGGAATGGCACGGGTATACCCACGGGTATCCGAGGGCCTACCCGTACCCTTACCCGCACAGCCACAGTACCCATACCCGCGGGTACGGGTATGGGTTTACCCACGGGTGGCGCAGGGAGTCAAGAAGGCATGGTGACGAGACTTTGATTAGTGTCCAAAGTACGCCAGAAATGTGCGGTAAAAATGGAGCACAAATGCATAATCGAACAGAGCACCTCTTGACCACCAACCACGAGGGGAACCAGCTGAGTCATGAAGCCACGGGGAAGGGCTGCACTGACCCATACCCGTACCCGCACGGGTAAAACCCGCGTACCCGCGCGGGTATGGCCTACCCGTGCCATTGCCTACTTGAGTGCAAGCGCATGTTCGGTGGCAGGTGCAGATGAAGGCGGCGCGACATATTCCTGGCGAGCAGCCAGAGGCGACAGGAGGCGAGGCAGTTCCAGCGGCGGGAACTCGTGAGAGGCGATCTCGAGGATCGTCTTGGCGCTGATGGAGGGGAAAAGCGCGGGCAGCGACTTACCATCGAACTGTGTGGTGCCGCCAGAGCCAGTGTACGGAGGAACTACCTGCGGAGGCGGCGGCGGAGCTGCAGTCTGCATCTGGACCATGGCGGCTGAGAACGCAGCCACCATACCAGCCAACGCTTCCGGCGTCAAGCTGAGCGGCGACGGAACCGGGGGATCCGGCGGATTCGAATCATCAGGCATGGCGTCCAAGTGAAAGGAGTCAAGAGACAAAGAAATGTCGGCGATGCCGGGGTCGTCGTCTGACTCTGGTAACGGGGAAGGTACGCGACTCGGAGATGCAGCGGGCGATGCCGCGGGCGATGCGGGAGGGGAAACGGAGGGGGGTCGTGCAAAGCGGCCACCAACACGGTACGAGTGACGTGCAATGATGCTCAAGGTCCTCAGGGAAAGACAAAAGAAAAGCTATCGAGCTATGTGAGTAGGAGTGTAGAGGACGAGGACTAGCTAGAAACCTATCGAGCTATGTGAGTAGGAGTGTAGAGGACGAGGACAAGAGTATGAAGAAAGTGATGTGATATATATATGTAGCAAGGACAAAGAGGTGAAAGAGGTGCCGCGACGCGTTTGTACACGCCGCGGCACGTGTCTGGCTCGCCTGCATAGACCGTGTTTGATGTTTCAAACACCTCTTCTAGCATCCACTTCCCCACTAGACGATATGTCTGGTCCTGCGTCGTTCCTCTGGGATCGTTTCGGGCCAGAAATCACTGTTTGTCGCCCCAAAGTGGTCAGCGAGAAGGCGCGTTGCACGTTTGTCAACGAGGCATCTCGGGAAATGTGGAAGCTAGTATGTTCTTCAATTCGTTAGCCAGTTCCAGACTAAGTTGTGCTAATCGCTCCTCGCAGTTGTTGGCGTCAGTCTGTATTTGGTATCCACGGTAAGCCGCTTTTCTCGCATCGCCAGCTCGATGACCTTACTCATTTTTGTTTCAGTTGGGATTAGCGATTCCCCAGATTCGGATCACAAGCACGAACTCCTTTGACATTTGCTCGACCAGAAATCCTGTGCGAGCCGCGTTGGCTTGTCTCTTCGCTCACATCCACACCAAGATCCCTCGATATAGCTTGCGGCTAACGAGTACTGGTCATCATGGTGCGTGTTTCTTCTGTTTGCTGTGGCTGTTACTGAACAAGCCCTTTTAGCCACTGGAAAATACATTACAACAGTCAAATTCGGACTCTGTGCATAAAGCTAGTGCGGAGAGTTGGCGCTCATGAGCACAGACGAATCTTATGCGTTGTCTAGTTTGTCTCGTTACAAATAGTGTCCTTTTACTTGCCCTTCAAGCTGCTGCTACCCGGACTCAGGCTGTGAATATCATACTTGGCTTTCACAGTTTTGCCCTTGCTCTCACCCTCGAGCTCAGTGTCCTCACCATCACTGGCGCCGTCTTTGCCTTCTTCTTCCTCACTGTGGAAGCAATATTTGTTATCAACCTTGTACTCCAGATCATTTCGGTCGCTGTCCAAGAAATCTGAGTCCAAGCTCCTGCGATCGGTGAGGTGAGGGTTGGGCGTCTCGACGTCCCCCAGGTCGTTGATGTATGACTCCATGATGCCGTCCACGCTGACGCGGATGCCCTGTGTGTGGCAATACGCAACTCCGGTCTTGATGACGTTGTTTAGGCTGAGGAGGCCTTGACTGGCGGGAGTTGAGTCTAAGACTACTTCGCGTGCACTAAAGCACGCACCGCTTGGCCTCCTTCCGCCGCTCATCTCCGCGGGGCACTCGGAGGAGGAAGTCGTCAATCACGTTCTCCATGCGTTTCGCCACCGCGTCGCGGTCGACTATAGCAGTCCGTGTCTTCAGAGAATAAGTATGGGGTATTTCTTACTATCGTCTTGTAGCTCGATGCCCAAGGCGCGTAGGACTACTTTCACAACGTCCATCTTCTGGAAGCTGCTGGGAAGCAATGAACTTAAATGCTGTCTATGCAGGGGAAGAGACAGCGTCTCTGCAACCATGCGCGAAACACGCTCAGCTACCTCGCACTTGATCGGAATGGCCCTAATCGTCGTGTAGATTCTTGGCGCCTCTCAGTCGATATGAAGGCATATGTCAGTGCTGTTTTGTGGCATTTTGCGTTCGCGGCTCCGCGGTTAGTCCTGCCATTAAATGCGAAATGTCGGATTAGCAAGCAGATTTCGAGCGAGTGTCGATCAACTCCAGGTTATCTGATGTTGTAGAAACGAGCTCAGTGGCGGGTTCTCAGAGGTCGAACTTCGAAAGTCATGTAGGTCATCGTATATTGATACTGCAACTTGGCGAGGAAGTGAAGCGCAAAAGAGTTCAGGATTGAAAGCGCTATTCGATCAGGCACACACAAAAAAGATATCCTAAGCAAACGATATGTTGGCATAGCCTATCGTAGGAAGAACGAGACATACCAGCGTAAAACCCATCAACCGGGCCCATATGTATGTCCAAAGTCGCACCCGCCGCCCGCCTACAACAACAATCGATCTGGCATTATACGACATCAGTGTGGTCCACGCATATATTGAGGAGAAGCCTCATACCGCCATTGACACGGTCTCGAAAAAGCAATAAAGCCGCTCGCCGAAAGGAGGATGGCGGTGCTACGGAGAATATGAGCCCAGATAGCCTCCACCCATGATCCTCCTGCCGTTTCGGGCTCGATAAACGGCAGAAATAGAGCATTTGTGTTGTATTCTTGCACGAGATACAGCTCCGCCGCCGCATATGCCGATAACCATGGCACAAGAGCCAAGAATGGGGGTGAAAGAATCATCAGCGAGATCGCGTCGAGCGATGACCTTGCCGGGCAAAACCATGGGCAACAAGAATTGGGTGGAAGCTTTGGATGCCCCCGAAGACGGAGGTCGGGTCGATGAGGCTCCAGCTAGTGTGTGGCCGGAGTTATGAGTCGACCAAGACATGGCCGCGAAAGTAAGGCGAAAAAGCGGTCGTGGTCGGGAAATCGAGGTCCAAAGCTAGTAGTATGGAAGGGGAGATGTCGGGGTAGTGCTATGTGAAGGTTGTGGGTGCATTTTGCTGGGCTGGGGTGCGTTTGACATGCCTCTTGGAGACTTTCGCAGAATAAGGAGCTTGCTGAGTGGTCCAGTGCAGGATATGCTACCGTCGAATGAGCTGCAGGCGTTGTGTGAATGGGGAAGGTTGACAGACGGAAGGATATGTCCCAAACGTCGTCGGCGCCAGCGAAATGAGTGTTGTTGTGTGTGCTGGCGCGGACATGAAGACGCCATGAGCGGATCCAGTTTTGTCTTCGTTCGCGATCGGAACCGAGTTGGGCGGAGCAATGGAGTAGAGCAGCTGTACCAGCCTCCGTCCCAGCCTCCGTTGCCAGAATCTCTGATTTGCCGACATTCGTGCATGAAACGACAGCCCCATGGCCACCCACAGGACCAGCTCCTCCAGCTCGTTTGGATATCGCGGCAGACGGTCAACGAGAGGAAGTATGGCCAAGTATCTCGTTACAGCAGGCAACGAAACTGGCAATCATGATTGAGGATTGTCAATTTGAGAAGCACTCTCCAAGAACGCATACACGCACCATGACCGTGCCACATGTCCGTCTGTTGGCCCTCTCATCCGCCTTCGGATACGCTCCCGCTCGTGTTGCTGTCGCTGCAACCGTGTGTGCGGAATGGCATGTGGAAGTCAAGAGGGAAGAAGCACTTGTTACTCGCTTGTCACTTGTTACTCGCTTGCGCTTTTCAGCCTCGACCAACAACTCGATGGGCAACGTCAAAGGCTATACTGGCTTTCAATTATCTTCTGCTTCAAGTCTCGTTGCTATCGAGGACAGCTCCTTACATATAACGCAAGCGCTTTGACATCAATTACTTCACGGGAGGCCGCGTGCCCGACCTGGACGATCCGCGCTGGCTGACGGTCGAACGGTGCGTACTCCCCTGCCACATCGCGCGGTCGTGTCTAATGTGCGTCAGGCAGAACCTCTACGACGTGGAGCACGTCATCCAGCTAGAAGTCGCAGAGTGCAACTTGAATGAGAAAAACTGGATTGCCAACGACAAACTCGTTGTACAACTGTACGAGGAAAGATTCGTGCGCCTCGGGTTCAATGGTAGCCCCGAGAAAGAGTCGGAAGGTGAGGACGAGGGCAGCGAAGGCGGCCAGCCTGGGGGCGGCAGCATTGTCGGTGACGGCGCGGAGAGGCAACGCCAGGGTGAGGACGACGTCGAGAGCACGAGCCGCACGACTGACGGTCTAAGCGAGAGCAGTTTTTCCGAGTACATTCAGAGAGACGACGCGCATTGACGATATCGCAGTGTTCAAGTAGTCTGCTGTCTTGGAGTCCTTGCAAACCAGATCGAAATGACATGAGTTCCCAGATTGATTCTTCGGTTAGCTGCTAGCTGCGCATTCCCACAACCACGATGTATATGAACGCCGCGGTCTCAGAGTCCCCGTGCCCTACCCGCAGTACAGATGTCCTCCTTCCCCAAAATCCTCGTATCCTTCACCCACGACCAACGTAAGAAACCGCCGCTCCACTCAGATCTTGTCTAATCCCCACAGCACTGGACTTCGACATAGTGCGAACGCGCTGGCGGAACCGAATCAGCGCGTTCCACCTCCGCGTGCCCCCAAACGATGTGCGCCGGACCGTGGCCCGACGGTGCGTCTTCCTCTCGCACACAGCGAGCGGTTCTGACATTCCCCAGAGAAGGCCTCCTCGACGTAGAGCAGGTCATCGAGGCCGGCATCCTGCACTGCTACCGCCGAGGCATACCCGTCAACGAACAAGACATCGTCGAAGCCTTTATCCAGAATCTGATCAGTGTCGAGTGCGGCGAGAAAACTGGCAACAGCAATCATACGCCGACCATGCACACCGAGAAGACTGACAAGAAGGGCGATGGGGGGCAAGAGAAACAGTAAGAGTAAGGCCAGATGTTTGCGCTCTTGAACCACAATGTGTACAGTTATATACTGCATCGTGTATCTTTAGCTCCATCGCCTCTTAATAGCCTCTCAGGAAGTTCTGAGTCGGTCCGATAGCTGTACTGCTCTCCTTCTGACAAAGCATTGGTGAAAGGATAATCATGAGCTGCAATGACTCACACGTCCTGTCCACGATCGTCGCTCTCTTCGGAGAAGGGAGAGACACCGTCTCTAAAACGGGCTGAACAGTTTTATCAGTGACCGCCATGGTGCTAGACATCAATATGCGCACCAGATACTACTCGCGAGCGCCTTTCCGGGTCGAATTTACACCTGTGTCGTCTTTGACTCGGGTTTCTCAGGAAGAGTCTTCTCGTGGCTTGAAGTCGCAACTGAGACCAGTAGCTCAGCCTCGAGCCCATAAAGAGAGATATGTAACTCACCGAGGCCAAGAAGCCATATTCTCATCGAATACTCTTCGCGAACGCGACATCGACAGACACAAAGACGGTGGGCGAACACTGAGAATCGAGTAAGTCGTTATTTCGCGATCTCCGATCGAGCTGGAATGCAGACTCACTAAATGATCCATCAGTCATGCGCGGGAGGGTGAAGAGGAAAGACGGACATGGTTTGGGGCAACATTTTCGCAACCACAGTCCAAAGGTCGCCAGACAACGGCGGAGCAGCAGAGCCCCCAGCGCGTTTCACAGTCTGAGACCCCTGTTACGTTCGCAGAGAGTTTGACAAGAGCGTTCGAGTTTGGTGAATCGGGAAGAAATGTGTGAATGACCTTAAGGGAGGTCGCGCGTTATTAGCTCGGAGAAGTCGTTGTCGGGCACGACCAGCCGGGAAAACAACCAATTCGCTCCACTCCCGGTCTTGAATAAGTGCATGGCGACCTAGTAATACAATGACGTTAGTGCTCAAAAGAGGAGCCTAAGCGATAACGCACGCATAGTGCCAGTGAGGCCCCTTCACACAGTATTCGTAGCACTACACTCTCCCCCGGACCCCCACTCGCATATTCCAACTGCTTCGTCACCACCTTGGCACCAGGCAAAGCGACATTCCCCCATCGAAGACGTGTTTCAATTGACAGTTCCGCCAGGTTTGAGAGCGGACGACAGACTAGTCGCTGTATCAGCTGCGAGTTACTACAGTAAAGGCGAATTCACTTGCCTTCAGAATCGTTTCGCATGGCGGCTGGGGCACCTCCAGTGGCCAGGCTCATGCTGGCAATGCTGGTCGTTGTGCTCTTCTCCGTTAGGATGGCAAGCCTGTCCAACGGTTTGGCGGAATTGGGACCAGGGCGGAACAAGGGGAGATGGGCGAGATGAGCACTACCCCGCACAGCTTGGAGTCAGGAATAGGGAAGTTATGTCGAAGAGGCAATGAGGCGAAAGGCTAGTGTGGATCCGTCTTGGCTCGTCAGCTTGTACTCGTCGGTGAGAGGAATGCATGTGAAGAGAAGGGACTGGAATGAAGGGCTGAAATAACGATGGTTAGCAGTAATAGAAAAGAGCAACACAAGTACGCACCTTAGTATTTCGACCCCTCTGTCGCTTTGCCCAAACCTGCAACAAGACCAGCCAGGTCGTCTTCCCCGTTCTCCACAGTCTCGGTTGTGCCTCCCGGTGTTCCGTCGTTGTCCACTGCTTGTTCCTATATCGCCTCGGAAAGAGAGTGCAGAAAGAGTTGACTACTGGTAGTCGCGGGCTGCTCCAATGTCGAGGAGGCCGCCGAGATGCGTTGGCAGTGGAGCATGCGCTGGGGGGAGGCGAGCAGTATTGTGGCACCTTGAAGATGGATTAAAGAACGATGTGAAGAGAGAGAGAAAAGGCGAGACTCACTGCGAAACCCGTCTCCACCAACTAACCGCTATCCATCCTTATTGGGTGTCCCAATCCATCGTCATTCACGCTGAGAGTCAAACCGGGCTGGCCAGCGGTACTGTGCGCAGAGAGCGCCCGTATGAGGCGAGGGCCGTTATCGACATGGGCGTTCGTTAGCAAGAAGAAACGGTCACATGCCTCGACACTCTCTTTCCCTTCTCCACCATGACTAGGCACTTGCCTCCGGCTCTTGCTCGCCATTGCTCAATCAACGTCTTTGACACCCGGGAGCTATCGGAGCAGAGGGCTTACACATAGATACGTGGCACGATGGTGCGTGTGTATCTCATTCTCGGAGAGGATCTCAATTTGCATTAGGTTTGCGGCCTGCAATGGAAAACCCGCCGCTCTAGATCTCCCATTCAAGGTCTGGCGACGTCCGCGGAATAGTTGGAATCTGCGATGGGTGGGGCCTGTTCCAAGCACGACCGTCAGCAAAGTTGGAGAGGAACTGGCAATAAAGGGGGCGCTGCTGCCTCCTACGTTGCTGAAAGCAACCACTTAGCACCAAAGAAGAAAAGACTGGCACCGCTCATAGCGTTCTCTCCTCGCATACCAGCACGACACGAACCCCAAGGACACTCATTTTGCTGGCATCGACGACTGAAAGACTGGAATGTATCCTAGTCCTTCCGCCCACCCATCTTTTCCCATCTTTTCCACAACGCCCGCAGCTCGTCTGACAGATTCTGCGCTCGACCCATACTGCTCATTCTGCGAAGGTCTTCAAAAGACATTTGCCGAAACCATCCCAGCTCCGCAAAACATGCTCACAACCCTCATCTCCCTCTGCCTCGACATCTCTCCTTCCATACTATCAACCTCCGACCTCCATTTTCTGCCCACGAGCGCCTTTTCGCCTTGCTTTCCCTCCCATGTCACATCGGTCGCCGTCACGCTTTCATGCTTGATTTGGCGGACTCGTAACTCGCGCCACACACTAGCTGGGGCCTCATCGACCGGACCTCCATCTGCGCTGACATCTAACGCTTCTACCCAATTCTTGCTGCCCGCGGTTTCTCCCGGGAAGGCCGTCGTCGGACACGATCTCGCAAAGAATGCTTAAATCCCCACACTCAGCTTTTTCACCTCAGCGATCGGCATACGCGGAGGAGGAGGTGTATCATGTGCAATGATACAACCCACCGTGCTGTCCTACTCCTGCTGTTTATCGAGCCAGAAACGATGAGAGAATCGTGCGCGGGAGCTATCTGGGTTCCAATCTCCCCTGTTGTCGTCATCCTCCTTTTGTCAAGCGGGTTTATTGCTTCTTCGGGGCCTCGACGGTGTTATTGTCGGTATGAACCTGCTGCTTAGCATGCGTGGGCTGCACTAACATCGTATACTAACAGGTCGATTGTTGTGATGGATGGGCCCGGTCGATGGGTTTGACACTATACTAGTATGCTCAAGCAGCTGGAACTTCAATGATACTTCCCCTTGGGCGTTGCTCTCCTCGTATGTAAGTATATTTTTGTCGCTTGGAGTAAAACAATGTTAACAGGCTTCCGGATAGGTATGCCAGATCAAACTCCGAGTCCTAGCTATGAATACGCGCCCGCGTAGTCCGATCCAGTGCGAAATGTAATGGTTGCCCGCCTTGCCAGTATCCGGAAGTATTGCAGCAGTCTTGAAGAGTATTACTAGTAAATCGTGGCTGGCCGCGGCGTCCAGGAACGAATTGCGACTAGTAGGTCCGGGGTGCGGAAGCTGAGCTGTTTTAACTTCAATTAACCACGAAACGCTGCCCAGCACACTGGAAATTG